AATGACTTTGTATACATATGATGACCAAACATCCAGATGAAAGAGTTTCAAGTGAAAGACCTGGTTCTTCATCTTCTAGACCAACAGTACCAAACTCAAATCGAAACAGGGCCACTGGGGGCTTCATATCGACTTAGAAAATCAGCCCCCCAGGCTGTGTGTTCAACACCTCTGGTCTAGAGCTTGGCTTCTTAATGTTTTGGGTGTCATAGACCCCTTCGGCCATCTAAAGAAACCTATCAGCTCCAACATAGTGTTTTATATGTTCATAATGAAAGGAAATGCCAAACTTTAGTTAGAGGTTGTGAAACTACAGATGTATTTTCTTTACCCATCCAAGTTCGTAGATTCCACCTGTCTGGGTCCCAGGTTGAGAATCCCCTGGGATCTCAACATTTCTCCAGATGTTTTAATAGATTTTTAAAATTTTAATCAGGACGTTTAGTGGGTGTAGACACATCTGCCGATGCATGTCCCCTTTTTGTTCTTTAGGGTTCAGATCATTAATATTGAGCTTATATCTGATTAAACCAAAGAATGAGGGGTCATGCCGTGCGTGTTGTTTAGCGTGAGGGACTCAGCACTTCCTGATTTTATAGTACGATCAACTCTGTCATTGACAATCAGGGATTTTCAGGCTCTCAGGATGTGCAGAGGCCTTTAAGCAGGATACCTGAGTGTCCCATTGTATTAAGCCTCTGAAATGAAAGACCTTCCTCTTCTTTTCTTTGACACTGAAGTACCACTTGACTTGTTTTTAAGCTTTCTTGCAGACAACAAATCTCACAGGAAACACTGTTGTGACCATTCATATCACTGGTTAATGAAGCATTGTTTTTTTATGTCACTCAGTCATTTCCTAGGAAAACAATGGGAACCCAAAGAATGTTCTTCTCTTAAATTAAGGGAAGCTTCCAATATGCCTTATTAATTTAACATATGCTAGCATTCATGCTTGCTCTACCATAGCAATATAGCTTTGGAGCACATTTTATGCAAAATTTGAAAATGATTTAAAAGTACATACATACACACACATAAAACTTTACGTATATATATATTTTATTGCACATATATATATATATATATATATACATATGTACATACATATATATGTATATATATGAATTGCACGAGAAATAGAATGGTATAGTAGATGGAAGAATAGCATGGAATCAGGAAGGGCTGGGTTCAAGTCTTGTCTCTAACATGTATTAGTTACACAACCATGGGTGAGTCACTTAACCCAATAGGGCTAAGTCTATAACACACAGAGGAGTTGCTGATACCTCATTGCCAGGAATCCAATATATAGATAAAATCACAGATGCAAACCAAAGAACCCCTGCCCACAAAAATGCATATTTCTATGGATACATAAACTGAAATTAATGTATACTTCAATCTCCTTGTTTTGGGATAAATATGATTCTTGCTCTTGGCCCAAATTATGCCAGGCTTTTTTTTTTTAAACAAATTCCAGTGACCCCGGATTGCCCCAGGATTAAGTACAAACTCCTTTGTTTAGCTTTTAAAGCCCTTTGCAACTTGGTCCCAACCTATGTTTCTAGCCTTATTGGACATCACTCCCCTTCCTGAATTCTTCATTCCAGCCAAACTAGCCTTTTCTCTGCTCTGCATATACAACATTCCATCTCCCATCTCCAAGCCTTTGCACTGGCCATGCCTCACTGACACTTTACTGTAGTCCATTCTTCCTTCAAGCCCCAGCTGAAGTGCCACCTTGTACATAGAGCCTTTTCTGACCTCTCCAATTGCTAGTGCCCCCTGTCCTCAACTACTATGTACACATTTGTATTTATTCTCTTTATTCTGTGTATACTTACATATGTACTTGACCCTCCCCTTGTCTCCACTGGAATATAAGCTCATTGACAGCAGGACTCCTTTACCCTTTGCACATGTATCCCTAGCACCTAGGACAGTGCCTGGCACATAGCAGGTGCTTAATGTTTGTTAATTTGTAAGACAGCCAGCTGATAAGAAAATACTACCACCCTACAAACACCTTCCTAGATATTAAGAAACAAAACAAAACAACACAGAATAACAGAACCAGAACCTAGAACCATAGGAGATCATTCACGATAAGGACAAACATTTAATTTTAGTCTTCCCTCTCATTTATTTCCTCTGTCCTGTATATAGTTTGTTTGTACTTATTTGTTTGCTTATTATCTCTTCCTTTAGATTGGCAGGGCCTCAGAGGGCAGGGATTGTTTATTGCCTCTTTTTGTATTCCCAGAGCCCCGCACATAGTAGGCTCCTAATAAATGGTTATTTACTGACCAATTAAGACAAGCACATAAACATACTCACAAAACAAATGATAATTTTCACTTTGAAGTGAAACCTTGTGGACAGAGCAGACTCCAAAGTCACATCTATGTATTTGACATTGCATTCATAGGCCAACAATTACTGGACCAGTCACTATCTCCTCCAGATGAAGAGAAATTCAGAGGAAGCTGCTTTATCTAAGGTAAGAAGACCACTCAGAACAGAATAAAACTTCCTTGGGGCAGTGACCCTTGTTTACCATTCTTAGGACATATTTAAGGTGTATCTGACAGTTACAGATGCTACCTAGCATGGTCCCCACTTGTTACAGACAAATATTAATTGAAAGTCCATTTGGTCTTCTATTTTCTGCTGAAAGGTGACTGGAGGCCTTTCATAAATATATATATTTGAATATTTTATGTGTATATATATATATATATACATATATATATACATATTTACACACATATACACACACAGACACACATACATATATATGTGAGTATATATATATATATATATATATCTATATCTGTATGTATACACATATATATATGTACATATATGTGTATATACTGCTGCAATTTCCAAACTCCTGCTAGGCCATTATCCCTAAATTATTGAGTTCTTGCCTCATGAAAAGAAGTAGGATTTCATTAACATTCCAACATGCTCAGCACTGCAAAAAATGTATCCTGCCCTTCTGAGCTAGGGCTGTCAATCAGCTCTCAATTGCGTGTTGGTTTAGGGAAACAGAAGGGCAAATTACCAAGGGCTACGTTGACATAGGCAACCCCATTTCAATTCTGTCTTAATCCTGAGCAGCATTCAATACTCTCAAGGTAACAGTAGTTTGTCTTTTCTCACTCCCAGAGTGATTTGGCGGACTTTTATTTAGAGGTCTAGTTGGAATTCAGTGAGCCATAATAGATCATTTCACTTTAAGTGTATGTTAAGCTAATATTGACTTTTCCACTGTAAAACAAAATCTTTGTTATTTATACTCAAAAGACTGAAAAAACCCCCAGTAGATATGGAAATAGAGGATTAATCATTCCAGCCTTTTCTCCCTTAGACCTCTGGGGAATTAGTCATTTTTGTTTACCTAGCAAAGACGCAAGGTAGGTTCTGTCACTACAAAAAAAGTCTGGATGGTCCAGCAAATATCTTTTGTATGATTTGTCTATTGTTGATCCTGCAGGTCCAGATGTAACTGCTTCAGTTAGCTTTAGATCAAGAAGTCAGTTGAGCATGTAGCTGGGAATGGGTCAGAGGTCTAGAACAGGTGGCAGGAGAATGAGCAAATTAGAATCCTAAAGGATGGAAAGAACCATGGGAGTGGAAGACCAAAACAGACTTTGGGAGGTACCACTGGTGAAACCCTCTGCTTTTAACCATTTCTCTAAGTTAGGGTGGGGGTAGGGGAGAGGTGGAAGGATGCTGTTCCCACAAGGACCCTGGGAGGTAGGTGGCACAAACGGTATTTCTCCCATTTCAGAGAAGAGGGAACTGAGCCCTGTGATTTGTCCAGGCTCGCTTAGCCACTAGGTATCACATCCAGAATATCAACCGAGACCTTCCAAATCCAATCTAGTGTTCTTTCCACTATGCCACATTTGCATGGATGAACCATGAAACCAAGGGCATCTAAACAAATTATGAGATGATAAGTTGCAGAGAGTTGCTGCACTACATTGGAACAGGGAGTGTCCTCCTCCAGGAGCTTCTTATACTGGTGAAATCGCAGGTCCAGTCTCTATCCTCATCCATTTATTCAGCACAATGGATAGAGGGGTGAAATTGGAGTCAGAAAGATCTGGGTTCAAATCCAGACTCAGATACTATCTCTGACCATGGACAAGTCACAACCTCTCTGCATCTTGATTTCTTAGTCTTTAAAGTGAGAGGGTTAGACTTAATGGCTTCTGGGGTCCCTTCTAGCTCCTCATCTAGGATCTTATATCCCTTTAAAATTTACAAAGCACTTTACATAGGCATTTGGGCTTCCCAACAGCCTTGGGACGTAGGTTCTACAGGTGTGATTATCCCCATTTTATAGCTGAGGAAACTGAGTGGTTAGAGGTCTTACTTGCTATGGTCATACAACTGGTAACTGCTGGTGGGACTCAAACCTAGGTTTATTTGACTCTGAGTTTCATACTCTATACATAATACTAAATTATTTCTTGGTTGATTAATCTATTTTATATGCCATTTAGGTCAGTGTGGAAAACCAAATTTCTAATGTACCCCAAATTCTTTACACTTGGGAAGAAAACCCAAGAAAACAGGCAATGTAGGCCAAAAAATGAATTCCAAATCTCTTGAAAAACAGAAATATATGCAGAAACAGCTTCCTTGTGGTGGAAACATTCCAGATCTAGTGTAACCAGTATAGCTCATTTGGATCCAAATCCTCTGAAAAGTGATTTTTTTTTCCAGAGGAGTAGCTAAAAGTTAGTTGAATTGAATTGAATAAATGGATTTGCAGGGAGTTTATTTTGTCTTCTCTTCACTCGGACTATTAATACCAGAATAACTTGATTATTCTTACACCCCATAGAGTGATTTGGCTTTGTATATTTTGCATTTTTCTTTTCACTTAAAGGCATAGAGCACAATGTTGATAAAGGCAGTATACTTTTCCAAGGTTAGTGATTATCTTGGTAAATGTATATCTGTCCTGGTCTCCTTACCTGGATCCACTCTCTATAGGAATCTTCTCCAGGAGTCCATCCATTCTCTGGGTAATTCAAGCGAGATCTTTCTGAAGACCAATTGGTGCTATACTGGGAAGAAACTGTGATTTGGTCTGAATGAATTTCTCCTGATTCCATGCCCAGTGGTTCCATACACGTGAAATCTGAATGGGGGGAAAAATGGGTAGAACCCATTAGCATTTTCTATGGAGTCCATAGGTGACACTGAATGTGGTTTTTATCTTTTTTTTTTTAACCAGTAAACTAAAATGTTAATTCTAATGCATACTTAAAGTCCATAGAAACTTGAATTGACACAATAAGAGTAGTAAAATAAGAAGGGCCTAGATTAGCATTGTCATTTGGGTTTCCATGATGATCCTTTTAAAACCAATAATAGAAAAAATATTTTTGAACTAGTGATGAAACCTGCTATACATGGAACTTAAGTTTACAGAAATGTTCTTTCATTTTTCGCAAGTGGCGAATACTTTGTTCTATTTTGGTAGCTGAATTTCTAAACAAGTTCAACAGATAGGTACATTAAAAAGGTAAGGGCAATCTAATTTTCATAAACACTATCTTGTTTTTCCACAGACATATATGAAAATATATGAAATGCTTTATGTTTGCAGGTTTTCAATGGATCATTTCCTACCATTTTGCTTATAGATTTGGATGAGCATCAGGGGAGACTGTGCAAAGAAACTAAAAGTTAAACACTTCAACATACCAAGAGAATTTCTATTGAAGGAACTTTAGCATTAGTCATTTTTGTAAATCAAGGGTTCCTTCTTAATATGACTCATTTATGTATATTATAAATTTAATGCTTCATCTATCTGGTACTCAGTTGTCTTGCCACCTTACACATAAGGAACATAATCAAGAAGGAGGAATTTGAAAAAAATACTTTTGAGTAGCCAAAAGAGGAGTGACAAAGTCTATGTATGCATTAACAGCTCATGAATTCATTGCTTATTTGAGAAACCCTGAAGTCCTCACTCAGAGACTGATTAGTCTTACACACAGATCTAGCAAACTTGGCTATGCTGTTTCTAAGATCCCAGAAGATTAAAAGTGGCAAGGTATGGGGGTTGATCTGGGCAGGTGTTTTGACAACGATGAGAAAAAACTCAGAGTGATCAAACACAACCCAATAAAAAGCAGACAAAGAATTCAAAAATGAAAACACTCAAGAGATAGTCACTGGAGGGGCAAAGAGACCTGTATATCTCAATAGGTCTTAATAGAATCCCTGTATTACAGTATACTAGTGTTAGAAGCTAGACTTACATAGAGAGTTGCCCAGAGTTGAGGTATCAAAGGGCCTGCAGGCACTCCTGGTGCTGCCAAAACCAGATTAAAATGTAATTGGGAAATATTTAACAAAATGAATAAAAATGCAATAAAACACAGATAACATCGCATTTTAAAAATAAGTCATTATATGTGGTTGTAGATGTCCTTATTGGCCATGGTTTCTATTTGTTTGAATCCTCTGGCCTAGAGCTTGCTCCAGAGACTTGCTCATAGTCAGTACTTGTGTCTTGTCCAGGGTCACAGAGTCAAGGTGTATTAGAGATGGGACTTGAACCCAGGTCTTCCTGGACTCAAAGGACAACTTGAGAGTTCACCTTTCATGATGATACTATACTATCCGGAAGAACTTATAGGATCATAAATTTAGTGCTAGAAAGGGCTTTTATTGCTGTTCAGGTGTTTTTTGGTCATGTCTGACTCTTTTTGACCCCATTTGGGGTTTTCTTGGGAAAAATGCTGGAGTTATTTGCTCTTTCCTTCTCCAGCTCATTTTCCAGATGAGGAAACTGAGACAAAGAGGGTTAAGTGACTTGCCCAGGATCACACAGCTAATAAGTGTTTGAGGATAAATTTGAACTCAGGTCTTCTTGACTGCATGCCCGGCACTCTATCCATTGTGCCACCTAGCTGCCCCAGAGAGGGCTTTTGAGGTCATTAAATCCAATCTCATTATTTTACAGATGAGGAAACCAAGTCCTAGAAAGGTTTGGTGCCTTTCCCAAGGCCACAGAAATATGAAGTATTAAATAGCAGAGCCAAAATTTGTATCCTCTGCTGGAGCACTCAAGGTAAATGAAGTTTTATTTTATTTCTAGTTTTCTTATGCTAGACTTCAGCTACACACTCATAATTATTAATGTAAGAAAATAATCAATTATGAGATCTTGAAATTTAATGTTTACCAACTTTACTTTTAATACTTCAAAAATTCTTCATTTCTTGAGTTGAAAAAAGAGTCAGAATTGCAAATGACCCAAAGGGAATTGGAGAAAAGTATGGTGGGCATAAGTTAAGTGAGGCATATTATCAACAATGACCTTTTAGTAAAAAGTGTTATCAAAAATATCGTCAGGGAAATGAATGTTTGGGAAAGGATGTGGGCTGAGGATGTTTGACTGACAAACAAAGTTCATGAAAGAAAGAGACCTAGCTTCCTAGCATTTTGGATGGATCATCTATGGAGGATTGGTAGGAAATATATGGACAGGAATTACCAAGCAGGACAAGGCATGACTGGATTGCCATGGGCACCATTGCTGGGAATACCTAAACTGATGATACCTTGGATCACTGAACTATTACAGTCAATAAACTTCAGTAAAGATGACCCTGCCTGGAGGAAGCATGGGGTAGAAGATAGAGTGTTGGACCCAGGAGTCAAAAAGACATAGGTTCAAAGCCCACCTTTGACATACTAGCTGTGTGCTCTAATTAAGTCCCTTATTCATAAAATGAGAAGGATAATAATGCCTCTAGAACTTACCTCATGGGGGTTTCTGTGAAGATCAAATAAAAATGTAACGTATTTTGTCAACCTCAAAGTACCATATGAAATATTGATGATTATTCTAAATAGGGTCGGTCCCATATTTTCATAGAAGAACAGCAACACACAAAACAAGTCACTTTTAACAAAGAGTAGAAGGCACTCTTGAGCCAAATAGAGAGCCAGTTTGTTCCCCCCCCCCTTATTTTAAGATATTAAAGGAGCTATAGTCCCTATGTGTCTGTAGGACCAGTTGTTGAAAAAACTGAAGTTGGAGAATAGAGAGTCTTTCTGTTATCCAAAGGACTTTTTATTGCATACAAATGTACATTTATGGAGGGCTTAAAGAATGTTACAATAGAAATCAAAACATGTTCTAGTTAGTCAGAGGGGAAAAAAATGTATATGCCACCTTCACTATTTCCCACTGAATTAAATCCTAGCCTGTATTCAGTGTGATTATAGTGGGGGTGGGTGGAGTGAGCATGCATGCATATTCATTCTTTCATTCTAGAATCAATGTTCAGACTTTCATGAACCACAAGCTATCATTTCTTCAAGGGCACCGGGGGTACCCGGCTTGACTGTAACTCACTAGTCCAAGGCATTATTTTGTCATCTCTCTGTTTTTCTACATCGTTTCCAGGCTGCACAATCAGCTCTCTTTCCCTTTACCATTTCATTAGGAAAATTCACAAAGCAGTATTTTCCTATTGATATTCAGAAAAGGTTGATTTTTTTTTCTTTAAAGAGAAAAGCAAACAGCCAGCCCCCTTTATTTATATAACATTTCTTTAATGTTTCATGTGGCAGCAGGTGTGTGGGAAGGCATAACAGAGCATGTTTTCCACTGGGCTTTAGAAGATGAATAAACACTGACCTTCTGAGACACTGCTCTGCAAGACACTGTAGTTTGCAGAGAATCCTTCTTTTGCTATTGCACTGTCAGTATAAAAAGCCAGCGATAGGATGCCAGTTGAGGAACGGATGCGGCCCGGTGTTTTCTGTCCACAGTAACGCCCGATATGAGGACCAACTAGAAAGAAAGGAAGGGAAAACACACACACACGCACACAAAACAAAGCAGATGAGAGAACGACAGTTTGCAAAGATGAGTCCCAGCAGAACACAGAAGTGTTTTTCTAACCCAAATCATGCCTTCCCTAGTTAATTGGTTTGCAGTAAACATATTGGGCCAGGTTTGCAGGGAGGATTTAAAAGTGTGCTCCGAGGAGCAATGATGGCAAAACCGCATTCCCCAGTGAACAGGATTATTTTCAGAAGGAGAAATGGTCGGCTTGGTTCATTTGCAAAGAATGAGACTTGGGCAGCCAAGTGGTACCTCAGCATTCATCTCGCAGCTCCAACCCGTACACAACTTGCCCCTGGAAGCATTGGGGAGATGCGTCAAGCTGTGCACAACCATCAAACCCTCCTCCAATCCCGTCCAACGATTCCCTCTGTCCTAACAAAGGAAAATGGAGAAAGTGTCGATATCTTCAGACCCCCTAATAGCTTCAAGGGGGTTGCTCAAGGCGGGGAAAGCCTCAGCTTCTCTCCTTGCTGTATTCCTTCAGCAATCTTTTGTTTGGGAAAGCCTCACATGCACTTTGTAATGAACCATTTACTCCTCAGTGGCCCATCTGGAGACAAGTTAATATTTGCAACTCTTTAACAATGTATTTGGAGACTAGAGACACCAGGAATGGAATTCGAATAACAACTGGATATTCATATTGAGGGGAATATTACTTTCTCTAGGATTCCCGCCTCAGTTTCCTTGGAGAACATCACCTAAAACTCCTTAGCTTATATGTATGTTTTAGGCGAATCAAATAATCAAGAAATAATGGCAAACATGAATTTGACTGTGTAGCCTAGGGCTGTGGGAGATGATGGGAGGCAGGCAAGAAACCATGTACAAACTTAAACCAGTGGTTAGGACAGAGTCAAGTTGTTATTGAGTTTAAGTCAGTAATACCTTTATCCTGAAGTGCTTTTTACCAATTTTGGCAAATGGTCATTCTGACAATGCTGAAGTACCGTGGGTTTGGAAAGCTAATAATTTCTTTGGATAGGCCACTAGCAGTACTGAAAATGACTTCCCTGTTTTCACATCAGGAGTTCTTAACTTAGGGTCCATAAACCATGAAGAAATCCATGGATTGATTTCAGGGGGTCCATAACATGGAAGTAAAACATCATATCTTAATTTCAATACATATAGTTTCCTTTGTAAACCTATATATCTATTTTATGTATTCAAAAACATTCTTCTGAGAAATGAGTCATAGGCTTACCAGACTTCCAAAGGGGTTCCATGACTCGAAAATAGGTTAAGAACCCCTGCTACAGGTTTCTGTTGTACACGTAATGGAAGCCCATCCACCTGTTTATTCTGGCTTAGATGGATAATTTTGCATCACCTTTTTTTTTTTTAATCTGGAAAATACACAGTTCCCTGTTGCATTACTCAGGGATGTTGCCTTGTCTATGGATACTCTAGGTCACCAAGACTTTTCTATAAACTGGGCAAGCAAGTAATTAAAAGATATTAGTTGGATGGAGCACAGGATACAAATGATAAGTCCTTACCAACCATTCCTTATTGGCTGTTTCTATGGAGTTTGTGCATGAGTAGGATTACCACTTCTGCATTTTTTTAACCATTTCACTGTTTTTCTGCTATTGCAGAACATATTAGCAGAATTTTACTGCTTAAACTGGGTCTACTCAGGCATATCAGTTAGAAAAACAAAATGAAGTAAAACTGGGCTGAGAGCAGTCAAATAATCCATTGTATATATGTAATGTGTGTGTTTAAAGCAACCAGTAGAGCTAAGTGATGGTTATGACCAAATTAAACTCTTTCCTTTCCACTCTTCTATCCATTTTATAATTATAACCTTAGCAAAAGGAAGGCAAAATAAAATTTAAAATAATTTGCTTGGACAACTCAAAGGCATTATGCTGCTAACATTGGAAGGAAGTGTTACCCTATTTTATACATTTAAAAATGTTATTCCAAGAAGGGGTCTATAGGATTCACCGGACTGCCAAACGGGTCTTTAACATATTAAAATGGTAAAAAAATTTCTTTTATAAAACATGAAACAAACACTACTTCAGTCCTCCTCTCCTCCTTTCTCTGTTGTGCAACTATTAAGATTTTTTTTTCATTTCAATTGAATTCAACAAGCATTAATTAAAAATCTACAAGGTACCTGGCACTATGCTAGGCTGGAGATTAAAAAAAAGTAAACAAATAAGATAAAACAAAATATTGCTTGTCCTCAGGAAGCTTACTAGACCTTTTCTTGGGAAAAATGCTGAAACTGTTTACCATTTCCTTCTCCCGCTCATTTTCCAGATGAAGAAACTGAGGCAAACAGGATTAAGTGATTTGCCGTGAGTTGAAATCAGATCTTCCTGACTCCACGCCTGGTGTACTACCCTGTGACTTCATCTGTGTGGGAGTCAGCAACTAAGAGCAGTCTGAGGGTACTGAGAAATCAATTGGCTTGTCCCATGATTGCACAGCTAATGAAAGACAATTTTTGAACCCAAGATTTCTTGATGCCAAGACTGTCCCTCTCTCCGCTACACTAGTCTGACACTTGTTCCTTTATTAGACATCTATAAATGTGGCTTGCTCAGGCCATAAACTAGATCGTTTCCAGGAAAAGTATCCAAATAACTATTAATCCTTCTCTTGTCTAATTTATGAAATGGAAGGCTTTCTCATTTTTCCTTTATCTTTCATGTACTCTTATTCTGGCTTCATTATTCCCTCCTACCATGAAATATGTTATTTCTCTATGTGCGGAAATATCTGTGGATGGTTCTGCTCTTTTGGACAATGACCTCTGCTCACTATAATCACTGGTTTTACCAGGAATTATGAGTGACAAAGGGAAGCTGTGGCCTTTTTATTAGGGCAATTTAGTCCCATTCCGTCCCCCTTCCCCCACCCCCACTATTACCCAGTTCCTTAGGGGGAAAGGAACCTTTGAAATAGCAAACAGAAGAGAACTTTGTTTACTACAGACTCATAATTTAGGGAGTCTGCATGACTCACTGGCTTATAATTTTTAAGACATGCTTGGTAATTCTGCACTCTATCTTTTAGAATATTGCCCCCGGATAGCATTGTACCACTCTCCTTAGTAGCCCTCAAGATATGGGAGTGAAAAAGGCTTTTTTGAGTATGCTACAAAGAAGTATTGAATTTTCCTGTACAACAATGAGACCTTCGCCTAGCAAAGTAATGCAGTATTGATCTGGTGTGTATGGGGGGGGTAGCGGAGAGAGGGAGGATGACTTTTAGTCTTCTTGTGTATGTGACCGGTTGTATATTCAGGTGCTCAGAGCTGTTGGATTTTCTTTTTTGCTCACCTCAACTTTTGAGATAGCAACAAATTAGCAAAGTGTAGAATGATGTCATAAGTAATAAATTTTTTTTCTGGTTGTGTTATTCTAAAAACAGTGGAGTTGCGATTAAAGAAAAAAGAAATTGTGCTTCCAACTTTGTGATTACAAAGATACAAGTATAATGCAGAATTGTACCTAGAAAATTGTGCATGTAGCCAATGGCAAACTAGTAATTGGGGGGAAGTCATTAGATTAAAATGGCAGTATCTTATCAGTAAGAAAGTGTATGCCTCTCTGACTTTCTAATGATACTTACTACTGATTACAATGATTATTCATACCATTCTTTGTTTCTTCCTCATTTCCCCATTTATTATAATTCTGCCTTAATTTTCTTATATTGTATGAGACTTTATTCATCTTTTCAAAAATGATAATCATTTTTAATAAAGTACTTTGGATAAAGAAATATATATCTTTTAAAAGTACAATATATGCTATGTGTAATTTTTCATGAGTTAACTAACATGCATTTTATTAGAGAATTTCTGAAGTACAAAGAGTATTTCAGGGAGTACCTAAAATGATTTCCACACCTCCCCCCCTCCACTACTACCCCAGAAGGTCCAGGATTGAGAGCCATCCCAGTAGTTTCAAGAGCTTAGATTTAATACCAAATTATATATAAATAGATTCTATTCAGAGACCACATTACCAGAATCCACTATTAAAACATGTTTATAATCACTAGAAAGTAGATAACAATCAAAGATTTAAAACAACAACAACAAACAATAACAGACATACAATACAAATCGATGGCTGACTTTGTCTTTACTTACGTCAACAACTGAAACTAAGCATTCATTTTTGGTTCCATAATTTGGTGCAAATGCTTGCGGTATTGACCAGGGTAGCAATAACCCATGGCTCTCAAACCATGTGTAAACTTCCTTAAATTACTTCTGAGCTGATACTTCAGAATATATAGCACTCGGGGAAAAGTGGTAGACGGAGATGAAGAATTCATCATGGGCATGCTTCATATTCTAAGTTTTTAAGTAAACTGCTTTTCTTCAAAGCCAATGTAAATCAATGGGTCGCTTTCAATTACTTGGCCATTTAATTCAATGTTTATGATAAAATGCATCACAAAATCATTCAATGGCTAAAAGCCTTCAGCGCCTTCTGCTTGTTGTTTTTGGAAAGGATTTCAAAGATCCATAGCCATTTTACTGGCAGACGAATTGTATGCTTTTGAAATGCTATGACAAAAATGTGTCTAGTGCCATTGAAAAGCCCAGGAGAATCTAGTCTCTTGTTTGGGCCAAAAAATTAGCGAGACATTTTGCTGGAGCAGGCTAGACAAGGTCAGCTAAATATTAACAAATACATAAACACATTTATCATATTCCACCAGCCAGCTTACTCTGGGAATAAGTCAAACTTGCTAGACTTTTAAAGCATGGGTGAATAGCATGGCTGATAACTTGTATGGTTAATTGTTCCTCATTACAACTCAGTGATTTTCTAGAACCAGAAAATTACTGCTTTGAAAAACCCTTGACACTAATAACAATGTACTCCATTCTGAAAGTGTTCTAAATATGTTGGTTGATTGGACCTTCTTTTCACATGTCAGTTTAAATGAAAGTTCTAGAGGGGAAGGCTGAAAATTTGGGTTGTGCGCAAATAAACCCATTATTAAATGTTCCAGCTATTGTTATAATGTTGTTATCACATTGTTATCAGACTGTTTTCCTAATTGATGGATTGAATGCTGGGTAGTCAGTCAGCCCACTGTTTTGGCAATCTCATTACTTAATGAAGGAGTTTCAGTAAGATCATCATAACCCTATTTGTATGATTAAAAACCCTAAAGAGGGATTTAATGTTAACTCACCCATTTCATCTAATGACAACATAAGCTTTCACTAAATCTAATTTTCTCCCCAATTGTTTATACATTAAGAAACTTATGAAAATTGAACAGTAACCAACACTGATGATATTAATAGCGAGAAAAGGGACATGCAAGTTCTGTCATAATTTTGTCCATTATTCACTTACAAAGTGAATTGAAATAATCCTTTCTTTAACTGTAGTTGCTACCTATAAGTATGGTAAAAAAGGCATCAGAAACAAGGAGCTTAGATTATATGATTTCTAAGATTCCTACCAGCTGCAAAAAAAATCACAGGATTCTCTTAAATAGTTGGTTGAACATGGCCTATTCTCTGATTCTTAAGAACTGCCAAGTCACCCCATTTGGATGTATGACCTGTACTTTCTCCAGGGAAATATGGATGTTAAACCAGACTAAACATACCACTGTCAAAGCAGCTGAAACAAATTATTTGATATAATCTTCCCTGGCCAGAATTTGGGGGTGTGTGTGGAAGGTGTATTTTAGCCATTTACCTTCAAATTCCCAAAGATTAGAATGGAAAATGTTAACCTGGAAGATAAAGAAAATCATTGTATTTCCTATTTGAGTATCTGGTGACTCCTTCAGAAGAAGGTCAGGAGAGCTTAGCCCCCACAAGCAGCAGTTTCCTGATGCCTGAAGTTTGGAGCTCCTGAGGTAAAGGGGGTGCCCCAAATCAGGGGTTCTTATCCTATCTCCAGACTTAAAAATTTTGAAATTTTCTACCACATTTAAGTTTGGGAGACAATATCACCTTTGAAAAGAGCATGTGTGGTTGGTCAGTCATTTGACAGTGGGTGTAGGAGTGGGTGGGTGGGGGTGGGGGGATGGTTTTATGAGCTCAGGAACTCTAGATCTTTGTTCCAATTTTGCCACTAACTTGTTCTGTGACCTCAAACAAAGCATCTAACCTTTCTAGGCATCTCTTTCTTTTGTTCAGTGAGTGGATTGGCTCAGATCGGTCCCAAGCTTCCTTCACACAGTCTAAATCTGTGATTCTATAATGGATCTCTTTTTTAAGATAGCTCCAAAATACCAAATGACAGCTTGTATCTTGTGACATTTGAAAAAGGAATCTTTGGGAAGTCAGTGATAAAAAGAAAGGTCCCGTATTACACCTAAATATTTGTAGTAGCAATTTTTTGTAATAGTCAAGAAATGGGAACAAAGTAGATGCTTTATAGACTGAGGAATGGCAAAAAGAGTTGTGGCACATGAGGGTAATGGAATCTTATTCTGCTATGAGCAAGGATGAATTCAGAGAAGCATGGGAAGACAAACCGACTGATGCAAAATGAATTAAAAAGACTCGGGATAAAATGATATATGGCAGCAGTCACCAAGCTACAGCCTGAGGGATAAATCAGTGCAGCTGCCCCTTAGTTGTACAGCCCAAGCTAAGAATGGTTTTCATTTTAAAATACAATAAAACTTTATTTTAAAATGTAAAAACCATTCTTACCCCAGGCTGTCCAAAAGCCCATAGAAACCGTACAAAAAAAGGCAGCAGGTTTTAGTTGGTTGACCCTTGATGTATGATAATAAAGTAAATGGGGGAAAAAGCCAGTAACAACAAAACAATTGAAATGGAATACTGCAAAATTCTAATAACCAAGCTTGGCTCCAAAGAAGAGAAATGAGTAGGCATGCCCTTCTGTTTCTTTGCAGAGGCAAGTGATTATGGGTGATGAACACTAAATACAATGTCACTTATATAAGTCAGAACATAATGACTTTTTCCATATATTAGTAAGTTTTGCTGACCTTTTTTCTCTCTCATTTTTATTCTTTGTTATAAGGGGTTGCCCTTTAGAAGAGAAAGAAGGAAGTGTTGCATTAGGAAGTACAGGAAATAGAAAAAAAAGGATTAAACATATTTCAAAAATGAAAAAAAAAATTGAAAGAAAAAGTAATCTATTGCCCTCTGCCCAGGCCCTCCCTTCTCTGGGATGCTGCTTCTCCTTATTCTTACCATCAGGGAATCCATCCCAAATTTCCAGTCGGTCATATCGACAGAACATCCCCCCTGGAGGATTAGTGTCAGGCTCAAGGTCAAAGCTTTCAAATTCCAAGATAATCTCTGACATCTTTGGTGCAAAGATAATGTAAGTGCATTCAAGGCTGTTCGGATACTTTTCAGGGAATCCAGGGGACTTTATCACTCCAGTAGATGACGTATAGTTTCGAGAACATTCAGGACCTATACAGGCAAAAACAAAACAAAAAAGAGAAAGAAATGAAGTCCTAAACTATGAAAGAACCTACTATACTTGTATTCACTGTTTTAATCACTGATTCACTCAGCCCTTTCCTATTATTGATAGGTATGAAAATCATTGTGTTCAGCCCAGTTTTCCATTTCTGTGGATCAATTTGAAAACTTCTTCTGTCTTAGGAGAAAAAAAATGACAACTATAAAATCATGTGGGAACAATGAAAGCATAAGCTGCAGAAATCTCGACAGAGCCCTAGAGAAATAATTATAGCCCCTTCAAGCTTAAATCTTTAAATCTTCAGGTTGACAGCCATTTATTGGTGAAATAGAACATTTACAAAAGCGGGTGAGTGAATTCAGTAGAGGGAGTGCTGGTTTCAGATTCCTATACCAGCGACTGAGTAACTCTGCCAGATGTGACCTATGGCTCTTTGACAAACTAAATGTGAAAGGTAATTCGTACATGTACCCAGGGTGAGTGACTCATTCTGAGTGGTGTTGACACAGGTGTGCCAGTAAAGTGTGGCTGTTAGTGAAGGCATGATAAACTGTGATTACAGGCAATGTTGCTGAAGTTACCTAATATCAATGTTGACACACTAACCTTCCTGAAAGTATCAGTTCTAGTATATTCTGCTGCTCCAAAAAATGGTTGTTTATGGTGAGAAAGTTAGTGATGAGGGAAAAAAATACCTACAACATTTAGTTGGGCCTGACTGCTCAAATCATTTCAACTTTACAAACTGTCGTGGTTTAATATTTCAAGCACTGGTCAAGGACAGTACCAGAAAGCTAGTACTATTGTTGTGTGGTGACAATGGTAGTGATTAACATAATAATGATGATCACAGGTTCCTTCTCCTAAGGAAGAGACTTTGGAGGTCAAACAGTTCAATCCCTTCATTTTATAGAAGAGGAAACCGAGGGCTAAGGTAGGTGAAGTGATTTGTACTAGGTCATAAGGTCGGCAATAGAGTTAGAATTTGAACTGAGGTCTTTGGTCCAAATCCAAGGGGTCTTTTCACTGCAATACATGGTCTTACCTAGGGTGCTTCCCCCATCTGATTAATTCATTTGTGCTCTATCCACAAAGAGGAGAGAGCTACCTGAATACTTGAAAAATGTACCTATCTAAATGGCCATGTGAGGATGCATGCTTTTCCATGTGTTTTTCCTCCCTCACACACTTCAAAAGATTCATTTTAAGAATCCCTATGTGCCTATGAAATGCTAGGACTGTCTTAATCTTACAAGAACAAATTTTGTGGCACTCAGCTCCATAGTTCACCCTATATGCACGAGAGATGCTAGGACTGTCTTAATATTGCAGGAACAATTTTGGGGAGCTCAGCCCTATGGTTCACCCTATGTGCATGTGAAATGCCAGGATCATTTTAATATTATGAGAACAAATTTTGGGGAGATCAGCTTCATGTTTCATTTTCCAGGGCAGAGAGATATACAAGTTTATCCATCAATATCTCCCTGAGCAAGTTCTAAAGACAATAATTTAAAAAAAAAAAGTAGTTTGAGGGAAATATTCTTGACTAGATAGTTCTCAAAATAAATTGCCAAGAAATCAAAAGGTAACATTAGTCATCAGGGCAAGTTAATTTTATTTCCATTTAATTCAATTAAACAAAGTTTCATCAAGTTCCTACTACATATAAGATACCATATGATGTAAACCCTGTTTTCAAAATAAAGAATGGCAGGTACCCAGGTTGCTGGGATACAAGAGAGAGTGAAATTGGTACAAAGAAAAGATACAGGTAAATGCACAAAAAGCTGGGCAGCTAGGTAGTATAGTGGATAGAGTGCTGGGCCTGCAGTCAGGAAGACTCATTTTCCTGAATTCAAATCTGGCCTCTCACACTTTGTACAGGCTGTGTGACAGTGGACAATTAATTTACTAATTAATTAATTAATTAATTGCGTAACCCTGGGCCACATAATTCTGCTTGCCTCAATTTCCTCATCCATAAAATGAACTGAAGAAGGAAATGGCAAACCACTCTAATATCTTTGCCAAGAAAATCCCAAATGGGGTCACAAAGAGTAAACACTATTGAACAACAACAAATGCACAAAAAACTTGAGAGAGAGTTCACTTTCAGTTGTTGGGGAGAATTTAGTGAGGAGGCCACTAAACTGAGCCTGGAAAGAAGGGAGAAACCTCATTAGCTGGAGATAAAGAATGGGGAGGGATCTATCTGAGACATGAGAGATAACACAAGTAAGCTTAGAGGAAAGGGTGAGAATAAGGGACAGAGAATAGCCCTATTTGGCTGTGAACTACAGTACTTTGTTGTTCAGTTGTTTCAGTCGTGTCAACTCTTTGTGACACAATTTGTGTGGTGAAGCTGAATTTGATTGGAGAGTTTGAGATGGGGCCGTTTTTTATCTCTGTGTATCGCATATTTTGGCTAAATTTCAGCACAGAGAACATTTGGAAGTCTTTTTGAAAAGGTTGATTTCCTTCTTTCCTCCCTTCCTCCCTCCCTCTCCTTCCTCCCTTCCTCCCTCCCTCTCCTTCCTCCCTTCCTCCCTCCCTCCCTCCTCCCTTCCTCCCTTCCTTCCTTCCTTCCTTCCTTCCTTCCTTCCTTCCTTCCTTCCTTCCTTCCTTCCTTCCTTCCTTCCTTCCTTCCTTCCTTCCTTCCTTCCTTCCCTGGACTCCTCTACCTTGCCCTGACTGAAAGGGCAGTGGCCAATACTGTTTGACATGGAAGCTATGACTTGCTCTGTTTTTCAATTGGGGCTGGTTTGCACCTCCTTCAGTAGACTGGTGGTCCTTCCCTGCTGGAAGCTCACCATATTGGTTCCAGACTTAGCTCAGAGACTTGATTGGCTTTAGCCCTACTGTAACTCAGAACTCCTGAACTCGTGACCCATCAGCCTTAACCTACCCAGCAGCATGGACCACAGGTGTGCTCATTCTTTCTTTTGTAAACTTATTTTTTTTCCTGTTAGTTATATTTCAAGAATCAGGGAAGAGACAAGACTAACGTTCATGGAATAGGACCAATGAACTTGGGAAATTTAAAGGGGAAGGGAGGATATTCCGGTTTGGGACACATTGAGGTTGAGATGTCAGTGGGATTCCAATTTGTTCCAATGTAGTTTGCCAACCAATTTTTTAAATTACTCTGGTGGTCTCTCAGCTGAAAAGGAACTAGAAGGGTTTGCGTCATTAACCCATAAATGAAAAGAAAGGTGGTAGCCTTTTAAAACTGTTTATTTCCAGGATGTAAAACTCACTAGAGCTGAGCTCCAGTCAGTGTGGTCAGGTCCTCATGAGGCAATACAAAAGGAAAGAGTCATGTTGCTAACTGTAGCCAAGTAATGAATGTAAAGTCAGCTTTATTTTCCCCCCACTCCGCCAAATTGCTTAGGTGATAGACACTAAAGGGGCTGAGGGACCACAAGGCAGTTCACTGTGAAGCACTAACACAGATGGTTTTGTGTAATCTCTAGGCTGTTCTCCATTTTGTTATGCTACATACCTTGGGGAAAATACATTGATATATCTAAGGACATTAGGGTACTATCTGAAGGTGGAGATTTGGTAGTACAAAGGAACTTCAATCCTTGCTCTGACACGTAGCAACTGTGTAATCTTGGGTAAGCTCCTGAGCCTTAATTTTCTCATCTGTAAAATGGGGATGACAATGCTAGCACTAGCATTACCTATATCATAGTTAAACGAACAAACTAGCAACATTAGTTGCATAGCATTCTAGGGATGGTAGCTATCATTTACATTATAATCTTGACTTTAGTTGCAGCAGCGCCTTTTATGACAATTGGATTGGTTGTTTTATCTTTATGGATCTCATTTTTCACTTCTGTTGAATTTGATGATACCTAAAATCTCTTCCAACTCTCTCTCAGATACTGTGGTTCTCAGCTTAATCCATAATCTGACAAAACTAGTTTTGACACCTTTTTTCATGCAATAAATTTGCAAAGAGAGCACTAGCCTTGAAATCAGAAGGAAGCGTGTCCAAATTTTGCCTGGGACATAGAACAAATGTGTGGTCATAAGTGGGCAAGTGGCTCAAATACTCAATGCTCTGGGGAACTTCCTAAGAGTGTAAGTTATGGAAGATGTACCCCTAGGCATCAATGGACGGCATTTCTACATGAATGAAATCACACATCTGAACCCAAAATAAAAAGGCTTCATAAAATAGACTACACCAAAGAGATTACTAAAACAGATCTGTGGTAGGTAATTGGTTAAAAAGAAAACCGCTAAAGGAACCTTAGTAGTGATTAGGAACAGACAGATTTAGCAACTCGTGTGTGTGTGTGGTGTGTGTGTGTGTGTGTGTGTGTGTGTGTGTGTGTGTATGTGGGGGGCGGGGAGAAGGAGGGGAAGAGAGAGGAGACAGAAAGAGAAAGTAAATGAGAGAAACAGAAAGCCAGCAACTACTTTGACACAGGACTTAAAAGGATTTTTAGGCCAATGAGCATTTTTGCAGATCCTTTGTTAGCCTGGATGTATATGGAGCACATACAAAAACTCCATGTTTAATTGTTGTGGACACAAGTAGAAATTTTATGCATCAATACATAGCTCCTAAGATCCCCTAGAATTCTCTTGAGTCCCACAAGACACACTTCTCTGACATAGACTGTAGATTATTCAGGTCATTGGTCTGGATATATCAGGTTGAAAGGTCTTCTCAAATCCACATTCAGACTGGGAAGTTCACATTGGGTGGAGGGGAGTGAACACAATAAAGCTGTGTGCTCAGGGGTAGCAGTGGGACAAGGACTGAAAGCCCGATGAGCAGGGAAACATCTTGAGAAGAGTAGGAAGTGTTAATGGTTCCCAGCAAAATGAAAGTGTCCAGTGGTACTGTCCCTGAAGCCACAGGGGACAAAATGGCCTGATTTTCTTAAGAACCAGAGTTTAATACTTGTAAATCTCAGGGCCAACAGGTGTGACTAATTTCATGGTTGTATTATATTATGATTAAGGTGATTCACAGAAGCAAAGTGTTTTCAACAGTACAGATTCATGCAAGCATGATAAGATCATTTAACTACTGTTGAAAAAAATTATAGGGGCAGCTAGGTGGCTCAGTGGATAGAGCTCCGACCTTGGAGTCAGGAGGACCTAAGTTCAAATCTAACCTCAGACACTTGACACTTACTAGCTGTGTGACCCTGGGCAAGTCACTTAACTCCATTGCCTAGCCAAAAAGCAAAAAAAAAAAAAAAAGAGGCAAAAAAATTATGTAAGCATGTGTATGTGAAGATGCATTTCTTTGAAGTCAATAAGTATTTATTGAGTGACTACAATGCAGAGAGAGTTCTATGTAGACACATAAGAAATAGATGCTGTGATGCTTGTCTTTGGACTATTTATTGCAATACAGTGTCCCTGATAGAATGGAGATCCTTTGAGGGCAGAGACTGTTTCACTTTGTCATTGTTATCCCAGCACCTAGCACAGTATATGATGTAGTGGGCATTGAATAAGTGTTTCTTGATTGTCTGATTCCTATATGAAACAACTTGAATTCATTAACCAGCAACGTATTAATAGGTGGGGGAAAAAAGAGTGGAAACTAAATGCATGTGTTTTTGGTTTGTTGAACTGTCACTTAGCTGACCACACTGAGAAGATGAATATTTTTAAAAAGTGATGATCATGAGGTCATTAATCTAGGAAGAAAAGTAAATCTGGGACCAGATTTTGAAAGAGGTGAGTGACATGAATTGGTAGGTGGGGCCTGGAGGGATTATTTTCAATGCAGAGGTATAAAGCTGTCCAGAAAGTTGAATTCTAGGACAGGTGAGCTTAGCTTCACCCCTAGATTGTAAGAGCTATGGAGAATTAAGATTTCTATTAGCCAAAGGTCTTCCATATTCATGATAATTATGGAGTTTTTCTCCAGTATTTACTCTATGATGTGAAACAAGGATTTACCTGCAGATGAAGACCCTTCTATATTGAAAAGAAGAAATTGGAGAGGTGTAGGGGACTGGTTAATGGTGTGATCTGAGTTATAAAAAGTAAGCTGACCATTAGGCATTAGGCAATTGACACCTACTATTGGTTTTGAAGTTGGAAAGCTACCTCATGATTGTTCTAAGAGTTTAGCAGGATCTAGATGTAGCAATCAAATTATGAAGTGGTAATGACTTTGGAAGTGATAATGGGAGGAACAGATCTTTTAGATCTACAGGATGCAGATGGACATAAAGGACAGGGGATTCAGCGATGAGTCAAAGATTACTATGTGTAGATGTAGTCAAAGAATAAAATGTTGGACATGGAGTTAGAGAGACCTGAGTTTGAATCCTGCCTCAGAAACTAGCTTTGTGATCCTAGCAATTCACTTAGCATCTGTCTGCCTCAGTTTCCTCATCTGTAAAATGGAGATTATAATCACATCTACCTCTTAGGATTATTGTTAGGATAAAATGAGTTAATATTTGCAAAACATATTGCAAACCTATATAAATTAAAGCTCTACATAAATGCTAGCAATTATTGTTGTTGTAATTCCAAGGTTTCAAGGAAAAGGGCTGGCAGAATGATGGGGACACTTAAAATAATAGGGGATCTAGAAAAGAGAGTTTGTTTGGGAGGAAGGGCAAGAGGTTCTATAAGTCATGGCCACATACTTATGTCTCTTATCTCTTTCAATCAACTTTGAAAAAATACTGATTGGAAAAGAAAAGTAATTCTTTACACTCTTTTTGGGATATTACTTCTTTGATAAAAGCACGTGTATCTGTGTGGATAGAAAGACAGACGGACAGGCTAGTTCATTAAAAAGTTCAATATAGGTCTTGACACTTAAGAATGACTATAAATGGAGCCTTGGTTAAGCATGTTATTATGAATGTGACTTTCTATGTGTGTTAAAAATGAAAGCATATCTAGTATAGTGGGAAGAATAATGGATTAGGAGTTGAAGGGCCTGGGTCTGAATCCCTGCTCTGCTGCTTTCTCCATATGTAATCTTGGACAAATCAGCTTTGGCTCTCTTGGTCTCAGCTGCTCATCTGTAAGAAAGGAGGCTGGAGAAGTTGACCTCTAGTCTCTTCTCTCTTTTAACCTCTGAGTCTATGATCTCAAATGGCCCTCCTATCTCTGACAGTCTGTGATCCACTCATCTATGATTTTGTAAGTTCTAGAGTCATCAGATCTAGTCACCAGTTGTTAAGCACTTGTGTGCCTGGTGCTGTGCTAAACTCTGGGATTATAGAGAAAGGTAAGAAACAGTGGTTGGGTCCTCAAGGAGTTCTCATTCTAATAAGGGATACTACAAGTAAAACAACTAGTTACATAAAAGTTACATACAGAATAGATAGAAAGCAGTATGAGAAGGAAAAGCACTAGCTGCTGGTTGGACCTGGCAAGGCCTGGTGGAGTAGGTGGTATTTAAGCTGTGTTTTGGAATTGGACCAGCATTCTTTGAAGTCCAAGAAAGTCTCATTGTCTCAGCTGAAGGGCTCTTAATGAGCTCTTCAATTAACTACTTGGTTTGCTCAGAACTCCACTCTGCTCAAGATCAAAGGTATCAAATTCACCTGCAGGAACCAGATGAAAATGTTTAACAAAATAAAGAAAATACAATACAACAAAGATAATGTTAATTTGTGGTTTTCTAATTTAATATGTAGCCACAGATTCATTTCTATTTTTGATATCAATGCTCCAGACTAAAAAAAAAATCTCTCCATGTTCACATCCAGTGAATTAACATTTTAGTTCTTTTATACATTGCTCACCCAACAGAATGGGACCATGACATAAAATATTAATCTACTGAAATGTAAATATGACAACCACTTTTAAAATTGATGTCATTTTTACAAATTCTAAGGCAATGATACAATTATCTTTAAAGTATTGATTATGGGCAAGATGAGAGGCAATGTGATAAAGTAGATAGTGGGCTGGCCTGGGAAATAGGAAGTCCTATCTTTGTCACACATTGGCTCTATGACCATGAACATGGTATGTAACTTCACAGTGCCCCAGAAAACTCTATAAGGGTATAAGTTGTGGATGAATTTGTAATTTGTTGTCATGAAGAACTTTCCCCACCAGGAGTGTACTCCGCAAAGGTCACAACAACAACAATGATGATGGTGATGATGATGACAAAAAGATGCAAGGTACTGTGATACACTCTCAGGATGCAAGAAAATAATGACACTGCTGTCAAGCAGCTTATGGTCAAATAGAGCAATATGATGTGGAGAAGTAAGTGTAATGCAAAGCACAATATAAAGGGGCAAAGAAAGTGCTCTGGGGATATTTTAGGAGGAAAAGATTGCTTCCAACTGGGGAATCCAGGGTGACTTCATTGAAGAGGCGCCAGCCAAGCTGGGCCCTAAAGAAATGTCAGGCTGTTAGAAGATGGAGATGAGGAAGCCAGGCAGGAGGGAGGGTCTGTGGGAATGCAAGGTAGCCAGGACAGGGCTTCCAGAGGTTCAGGAATATCTAATAACCCAGTCTGGCTTATGATGCATGAAAGAGTAAATGTCAAATAAGATTGGGAAGGTAGGCTGTGGAGAGCCTTAATACCCCTACTAAGGGGTTCGTAGCTTATCCTACAGTCAATTGGGAGTCACTGAAGCCTGCTTCCTTTTCCCATGCTTATGCAAACCCTGGCCTTGGTTCACTCTTTTGTGTGAGAAAGCCAGCTTCAGAAAGCTAAGACCAGAGGAGGAACCACTGTATTTAATATGTGTGAGGAACCTAAAGGCTGTAATGAGTATAATGTGAGGTGTTTTGCAGGTAAAGTTACATTTTAAAAAATTAATTAATTTGCCTAATGCTCCCACTGGGAATTGAAGCATATGATGAACCAGACTTTTCTCTGTTACCTCACAAAGCCTCCTCACTGTTGCATCCTAATAAAAGGTTTAGCAAATGATTAGAGTGGTGACCTATTCCTGTTCCCAAAGGAAATAGCATTTCCCACTATTCCTACACTCTCCAAGAGGTTATTTTAATAGCCTGGGTAAACAGAGATCTAGTGTTTCTCCCACCAGTATGGAAACTACCATAGCATGGAGGTGGCTTTCTGAGGACCAGACATTCTTGAATATAGTAGCTAGGAAAAAGAGAGAGGTGGGGGGTAGGGGCTGGTGCAGGCCCTTTAGGAGGAACAGAACTTCTATGAATTCAAGGTGGGAAGGGGCTAATCCTGTTTTCAAAGGGGACTTTTTGGCTGCTCAAAGGATCAAAGAACCAGATTCTGAGCATGGCTTAACTCTTTTATTTTCTTTAAAGAAAGAGAAAAGTAAAAAGAAATGCTTTTTAATACAGTTTTGCCAAAGCACATTCACTTGGCTGGTCACAGCATCTGAATAACATCGTCTTGATCTGTTCCCTTGCCAGACGTGGGGTGTGTGAGTGTGTGTGTGTGTGTGTGTGTGTGTGTGTGTGTGTGTGTGTGTTTAAAGTACTCTCAATCCTTTGCTTCACTTTCATAAATTATTAAAACCAACTCTTGTTAAATGGGAAAAAAGACACAGACTAAGGTCTGTCATTATCCTTTGTTCACTTACCTCTCTTGAAAATTTCATAGCGTATGGAAAATCCAGCGCCGTGTGTCTCGTAGTCAGAGACAAACTTGATAAACAGGAATGGCCCTGAAGACACCACGGGAGGAGGAGCTATCTTGCCACAGAACTTGCCCCATAAACGTCCACTTGCACTATCTCCATCAATGACTTCAACATAGTCATACCTAATGGACAAACACAGGAGGAAAACATTAAGTGAAATAAGAAGTGTTTCATTTCTACGAATTCTGAGCTTCAAATGAGCCAGTGTAGATTGATGGGGGGTGGGGATGGGTGGGGATGCTCCCCACATCCATGACTCTACCACACAGTGAAATCCAGAAAAATGAAATAATTAAAATGGACTACATCATGTCTGTAGACATCATCTGGCAAAGCAGGACTAGTAGGAAGAATGGTGTCCATTATACTGGCAGACAATGTCAGCTAAAGTAACCAATTAACAAGAAAAAGGAAATCTCATGAGCACAATTCTGTATTATTAAATTGTGTTTCTTTGTCTATGGTAGTGGTGTCAATACATAATGCTGTGCATTCTTTTCAAACTGTGAAGTTCTTTTATGAATTCAAAATGTCCCTGGCTAGAGCTCTCTATGAACAATACTTTGATTTCTGTGAACTAGCCTCTAAAACATATGGCCACAGAATAATAAATGAATTCTTACCCATTTAACTCAGTTCACAGTTCCACCACACTCCAGACTACTCAGGAAAAAAAAAATAACAACAAACCAAACCACCCTGTCAATATCTACATTCACAGATTACCTTCTTGAAAGCCAGACTTGGATCATAGAAGTTACATTTTCCCCCAACTTTTGTTTTAAAAAAGAGAAAGAAATAGAATTTATCTTGTAATAATCAACTTGATTTGCTTGGAAAAATACACTTATTTGAAAGAAGGGAATAAAAAATGCCCAGGGATGAGATTTAAAATAGAGGTAGTAATAATATTCTAGTGACGTGATTAAAGAAACAACACAGTGAAATTCTACTACAAAGTTTGTGTTAAAAGGACAGAACATTTCTTAGCCCTATAAGCAGATAACTCACCCTTAATAAACTAGTCCTTTCCTCATCCTCAACCCCTACTTCAAGATATGAAGGGAATGACGCCAAAAGTTTCATTTATCTGGTTATATCTATATCTAGGCACATTAATTGCTTCTCTCTCTTATCTTAAAGATATTTATTACCATGTAGAAGTCAGACAATCTAATTTGTGTTGTTTTTCTTCTAAAATTGGCATTAAAATGTTATTATCCATTCATTTTAGAGCTTTATTTTACTTCTATGTTTAACTTGTTTCAAAAATTATGGGATATTTTAATTTCAGGAACAGTTTGAAATAGCAGTAACATAAACTATATCTGACAATTTTTAAGGGATCAAAGGGTAAAAAAAATAATTCTTCGAGATGACCAATGTCATCTTTAACGACCCTTTTTTAAGCTATCTTGGGCATATTACTTATGTTTACATAAAGTCTCATGAGACAATTGCAAAGATGATATCACTAGTTAAAGTGGAAAGCTTAAGGCCCTTTAAATTAAAAATGACATTACCTCATCAGTAAAAATTGCATGCCAGCTTTGGTGTATATCAGGGAGAAAATAAAGCTGACATTGATAGAACTCTAAGCATTAACATATGTGAGTTACTGCATTAACTGCATTTCCTCTGGCGCATCCAATGTTTCTAGTGACTTGGCCAGCATTGCTGTCCCATTTCAAAGCTAGGGAATGAGGAATTGTTCATTTCTCAATATTTTGGGATTACTTTGCTTGTTAAAAGAAGAGGAAGGAGTGTAAGAGGAGGAGGAGGAGGAAGAAAGCATTATATTTCAAAGTTCTGAACCAACCTTTTACATTCAAAGAGAGGGCAGCTGAAATGAGCGCCATCTCCTATTCATTCAAACCAAATAAATTGGCATTTGATGGAGAACTCCCTTTTATCTCTGTTTCCTCTTTGACAGGACAGGTCTGCTTGTTTTGCTCCACAATTTCTTATAATTTAGCTGTGATTTGGCCTGTTTACTGTCTGAACTAGCTACTGTGCATCTAGGCTTTGTCATATAGGCTTTATGCTTGAATCTTGATGTGATCTGAATATTAAGTGGTTGTGTCTTGGTGCATTTTGCCTTTGAGACAGAAACCAAGTGAGATGGGGCAATATTCTGAAGAGCTAAGGACATTTTGGAAGGAAGTCTTTTCTTTCAGGTAAAATAATATCTTCTATTTCAAAGGCCCAGTTGTGGTACTGGAGATTTTAAAGAGAGAGAGAGCTTAAATCGACATGGCAGCCAATAGTAACCCCCAGGCTCTCCACTTGGCAATACCAAAAGTCATTAAAGTGAATAGAGAGAGATTAGGCTTCCTCCACAGTAAGAGATGAGTCTTGTTGAATTTTCAAGTACCACAAGTTCACACGCAGAAATAAAATTATTGGAATGTGAGTGATGCCTCATCTTTGGAAAACGGAAATGCAACTGTCATTCTAGCAACACTCCTTCAAAGTACCGTGAAACAGAGGCCAGAGAAGAGTTTCACCAATAACAGCTTTTGTAAATAGTCAGGCAAGTGTACCATCACAACTTGTCAATTACATCATTGCCAGTGAAGTTAAGAAAGCAGGCTCGCATCTCCCTCTGGAGTTGATACCGGCTCCACTCCATAAGCTTGTCAGTGACAAATGCAGTGCCAGGAATGTAAGTGTTGTGCCAGCAACCTTCTCTGGAGACAAAATGTGTCACTGCAGCAACGCACCCAGGCTGCCTTGGCCTCGGGCCCAGGATACTGAGTTTGCAAATTTGGATCTCCCAGCCGGCCTGCATTGCTCGGTTACTGCTACCAGTGTATGACAAGCACTGCTTTTCTTGGGATGACAAGAATTCCATAGTGGGAACAGCGAAGGTAGAAATGGAATCACTTGTCTGAACCTCAGTCTAACCTCACTGCCCTAGGTGCGCTGTGTGTTTCTGTTAGCTCTTTAATGGGGAGCAGTTCTTTTGCAAATGGATGCAAGTTCTATAATCCGGATGATACAGATGAGTTACCAGTCAACATTGATGAAGTTTTCAGAGCAAGACACTTTCAACCTCCACCAATGAAATCAAAACAAAATAACACAAAAAGAAAAGCATGAGGTACTATGGTAGGTTCTAGGGATTTAAAAAAAAATGGTGGTCCCTGCCTTCCAGCAGCTTTCATTCTAATAGGGAAATATGACATGTCTACAAATAAGGATAGTATGATATAAAATATGATCTTTTTGTCTAGAGGAAATCTAGAAAAAGTCCTGTAGGAAAATTTCAGGAGAGGGAGATCACTTTCACCTGGAGAATCAAGGGAGACTTCATTGAAGAGACTGTATAATTTAGGATTTTAGAAGATCTGAAAAATCTGGCTAATGGAAGCAGTAGTAGGCCACAAAGCAGACTCAACTTCATTTGGAGCACAGAGTGTTAAATAGGTACTGGCTTTCTTAGAAAGAAAGATTCCATCACTGATAACTGGACAGTGCATCTAGCACATTACTGACCATAGCATTCCTCAAATAGCTTGGAAGCTATGTCCTTTGGTTCTGGGGCAAATGGAAAGACAGCATTACTGGCGTCTGGGTGCACCCTTAAATGTCCCATGCTGAGTATAAACAGAATTCAAAGATAATTGGTATTTTTAGGTAAGTCTTTATCCTCACTTATATTTTGTTTTTGTAATAGATTTTATATAAGATTTTGGCCTAACTATATACACAGGAAAAAAACCAGACCAGATGAAATCAACCAGATGAAGAATGCCTATTCAGATTATGATATGCAATTAGATGGACAACCTATAGAGTTCATCTTTATATATCTATGTCTGATCTATTGTTCAGTTGTTTTCAATTATGTCCGACTCTTTGTGACCCCACTGGGGGTTTTCTGGACAAAGATACTGGAGTAGTTTGCCATTTCCTTCTCCAGCTCATTTTGCAGATAAGAAAACTGAGGCAAATGGGGTTAAATGACTTGACCAGGCTCACATAGTAAGTGGTTGAGGTCAGATTTAAACTCAGGAAGACTAGTATTCCTGACTTTAGGCCTGGCAATTTATCCGCTGCACCGTCTAGCTGCCTAGATCTGTGTCCGTATCAATAGAGGTGATCTAATATACACGATATCTATATATCAAGTATATATGTATATAACATCTAGACATTGCAAACTGACACGTTGGGTCCAGAATTAAACAAGAGAGGAGCAGGATGGATTGTCTTTTGGAAACTGCAAAGTACCTATACAAATTCCAAACTTCTTCCTGACACAGTCCCATTAAAAAACAAAAAAAAACCCCAAAGATTCTGACCTACCACTGTTGTTGTATACCTGTGAGTCACTGGAAACTGTAGTCTCCAGAGATCTAAAAGTAAGTATTACTGAGCGAACTTGTTTATTGTTGTTGTTCGTCCTTCGTTCTCAAAGAGGACTGCTGATAGCAGCAGGATGATGGAGAGGCAAACGGTGGATATGAGTGGGCTTACTCATTCATATCAAGTAAGGAGATAAGTGTAAAGGATTCATCAAAATACATATCATCAAAAAAGAAGATGGATTAGTAATGTGGTGAGAGTGGAAAGTAAATGATAGGAAGCCCAAGCCTTCCCAATATTGGAAAATAAAAGGGAGGAAGGTCTATAACTTGGTAGATGAATCCCTCTGGTGCACTTATGTGAGGATATGGACAAAAGTAGTACCGGATGGTGAGGAATGAATGGGCTGTAATCTTCATTGATGGAAAAAAATGTACAAATCAATGAGGTCACAGATCCAATTGAGTATGTTTGTGATTTAAAAGCTTCCCCTCTTCACTGAATTTTCTAACAGATGTCAGTGGAAAAACAACAACAACAACAATAACACACATTTCCTTCCTGGGCTGCTCAGAAGGAACGTCAAGCATTCTGTTTTCTGATTCAGAAATGTACTATACTACCCTCCTTTCTCAGTTTTGGGTGTACAGACACTTCAGTGGCCTCATTTCCAAATGTTCTAAGTATTCTCTCTAGAATGTAGTCTTCTCGAGGAGATAGACCATGTCCTTTCTTCTCTGGGCACCACCAGATGTCTCACTGCCAAGCCAAGTACACCACAGATATTAAATAATAATAGATTTCCCATAAG